TGTTAGCACAATAGACAGTCTAGATCTATTTTCTTATACTGGAATAAAAAGACAATGTATTTGAAAATATATGTGACTTTTGACTGGACATGTTCTGTGGTGTTTGGCTTTAAACATAATTTCCCACTGGACCAATACAATTTCTGAATTACTTGGTTTGAACTTATATACACTTCTTTGATGGTGATATTATCTATTGCTTAACATAATTTGTAGTGTATTCCTTGTTTTGTTTTGGTTTTGGGTTGGGTTTGGGGGTTTTTTTTGAGTAATATTTGTGTGACTCTCTACTTAGCACTGCATATCCTTTTAATAAGTAATTTTTCTGATGTGGAAGCTTAGACAGTCTGTCATTTAAACTATTTACTATTTGTGTTATAGATTTATTGTTCGTCAGTGACAGCTATGTGCCAAAATGCTTTATCCATCATCAGACAAATAATACTCAAAGTAGTATGAGGAATGAACACTTTAAAGAAAACAATAATCACAAAATCTTTGATGACCTCTGCAAAGAACAATGTGATCCCTATCCAACTCTTACCTGCTCCAGGTGAAGGACTTCTACAGTCTTGGAGATAGTCATGCAATATCTCTATGATGATTAATTAAGTCTTCACCTCAATGTTTCTATGTCTCCATCTTTTGTTGGGGAAAAGTAAAAGTTTCAAGCATTTATCTATATTTGAATTTGGAGATTACTTAATCATTAAAAGTTACTTTAAATTCTCACTGTACTGAACAATCATTTCATTTAGAAGACTAGTGTCTGAAAGTGCTGCTTTTTTAGAAATTCTGTCATAGAAATTTATTGGCAGCTGCTGCCCATGTTGTTGCCCCTGCCTAAAAAATACTTAGACAAAGTGACAAATCTATTTAGCCATAGACACAGGCCAAAATGGAGACATGTGACTCCCCATGGTATCCTGGATATATTTGACTCTCTGTAGGCTTTCTGGCCTATTAGAGAGTCTATTTTAAGGATTACATGCAACTGAAATCCTGGAATCACTCACACTGGGACAGAGGTGGGTGGTATTTTGGAAGCCAAACACAAACAATTCCAAGTTTTACAGGTGGTCCCCACCCCAAAACTGGTCTGTACCAAAACTGGCACTGAAAGTGGGATCTGGATTTTGTATTTAGGTCCATCTATATTTTAAAGATTTATCCTTAGTGTGGCTTTTACTTTCTTCTCTCTTCCTCATTTGCCTTTATATCTTTCAGAAATCCTCCTAAAGTTTGTCTAGCCAGGGTGGAAGTACAAAGCAGATTTTTTAGGGTTATCATCTAGTACTAGGGACTATGTTAGCTAAGCTTCTCAGAGCGTAAAACCAAACAAAAGCAGTTTCTGTTCAGCCGTCTATCTATACACTATTCAGTTATATTATTCACAGGCTCCTAGCAGGCAAACTTCTGAAAGTTTCCCAACTTATTTAAATTAACCTAAAAATAAATTTTCTGATATGATTATGGCATTACTGGAGGAAATTTATCTCATGTTTTGTAATCAAAAAGCAATGGTTATCACCAGCTTGGTTTCAAATGAAGTTGTTTAGCTGTATTATTATTATTTTATAAAAAATAGTTATAAAATACTAATTTCAGTTTCACAAATTGGAAAATCCTGAATACTATGACTTATTCAAGGAAGAAGATAATTTTCCTGTCTGTGACGTATCCTGGGGCAGATTTTTAGGTTTCTTGATACAGATAATAGTTTTTAAAATATATATGCATACATATAATATAAAATATATGGACTTACATTTTTAATTTATGGTTGAAAAACCAACAAAGGTACTTAAAGCTATTCTGAAAATAACCACAGGATTTAGACATACTTTGCAATTCCTCTCAACTTCTGTGTTCATCCTTAGGAAGTTACTCATCTTTGACAATCTGTCCTTCTAGATTTGATGCCTTGCTTAGGTTGTGCTTCCTTTCAATGATGAGTGTCCCTAGTTGAAAGCCTGAAGTTTTTAAGGGGACCCATCCTCTGCTATTCAAAATCAAAATCATTTCAAATTCAAAATTCAAAAATCATTATCAATCTCAATGATATCTAGCAACCTTTACTTAACTTAATCCAATACTCTCTTTTATCAACAGAAAACATCTCACAATTTTACTGGCTGTTCCTTTTCTCCCTACCATTAGTTATTCTGTATACTTCCATAACAGCATACCACATACCTTCTTTCCCATCTAATACTTCTGTATGTTACTGCTCTCTCTCCTCATATGGAAATCGTTCCATGTCTCTAATTATTTCCATTGTCCTATTCCTTCCTGGACCATTTCCATTTCTGTTATATCCCTTATGAAATTAGATGACTGAGATTTACCAAAGTATAAGACAGAAAGAGTGTCACTGATTTATGTATCACATTTTGTTATTCTCTATCTCCCAATAAACACCAGTTCTCACAGTATATTTTATGTTTTGAGCATTAGTGCACAGAAATACTTGTGTAAGACTATCTAAACTTCATATTTTTGTGTGAATTTAGAGTAGCTCCAGTAGTACTTCCCAGCATGCATACTTTTCCATCTTCAACATATATTTGCACAGACTGAAGCTGGTATTAATTTTTGGTACAACCAAATGCTTTAGTATTCAGCCTTCATTAGAGTGGTCTTGTGCTCCAGGATAATATTATTATTTTAACTTAAACTGTCTGGCTCCTTTTTCAGCTGTGAATGTACTTACCAAAAATGTTGGTCAGCTAGACTTAAACAGACAGTAAATGGAAACATTTCTGCAATTATTTCTCTTTAAATTATTCTTTTTAAATAAAAAAGATATCCAAGGAAAATTCTGAACATGTTAATACACAAAAGGTAATGAAGTTCAAAATCAAGGGTTTGAGTTAGGCTATGAAAATTGTATTTATGCATTTCACTGTGCTGGGCGTCTTTTATTTCCACAGTTCCTCAGAAGTAAAGGAACTGCTGAAAATTCACGTTTTCAGGCACCTGAATTTGTACCCAGGAGCCCAATTTGAAACATCCAACTCTGTAATCCTTACTCAAAGTTTTTATAAGAAGCAGCTGAGGAAACTATGTTTAGGAAAAATGTTGGTTAGTTTGTGGGTTTTGTTTTTTTCTCTTTGACTCAAATTCAAAATTGTTAGAAAATCTTTCTAACCTTAAAAAGAACTTGCAGTATATCTCTATATGAGAATAATATATCTTTCATTTTGATATTAATTTTAAAGTACTCCGGAGCTCTATTAGAACACTCTGAACACAGCTTTGCCAGGTTTCTTTGCCAAAAGACCAGAAAACATAATAAAGGATTTGCATTGCATCACAATGTTTCTCTACTGATATGAGAACAGCCTACTATGACGGATGTTATTTAATTCAAAATGCTGGGGAACTATATAACAGAGTAAGCAGAAGGGAACATTTAGAATGAACACGAGAGGGAAAAAAAGGGTTTTTTTTAAAATATTCTATCAACACAGGCCCAAGCATGCAACACTTCCAAAGGAAGAGATCTAATCCTTGTCACTGGAGCAGTTTAGATTTAAGCCACACAAGTTGCATGGGAATATATAGTAGAGAGCAAACTCACACTGCCTTGAGCTGAATAGTTTGAATGATCTAATATGTCTTCTGCCTCTTAAACAGAGTATTGAATAATGATACAGGTGACGAGGTTTTTACTGGGGGGACAGGGTTGTTGCTTGGGGGTTTTGTTTGTTTTTTTTCTTTTTGGTTTTTAGATAATTTATGGCACTTAGAGCTCTAGAATTGCAATGAGCAAATATGCTGGGCTCTTCTGACTGCTGGTACTTAACCTCACATAGACCTCTTTCCATACTCACTGAATGACTAGCACAACTCACACAGGTACAGTTTGCCTCTAAGTTTACCCTGTACCCTTTCTCAGAAGAGTTTTAATGGCTTCTTCCCAGATGGGTATTATTTTATTTCCTCAACTTTCTTTCTCCCAGTATTTTTAACCCTCTGCTTGCTATACCAGGCACAGCTGTTAATCTTTTAGTTGTTTTTCTTAGCACATGCCTTTTCTCTTATATTCTCCTTTACGTTTCTTCTTCCTTCTCTTCTGTATGACTTTGCCTTGGTTTTTGTAGTTACTGATTTGTACTTTCCAGTGTCCCATTTCTGTCCTTTAAAGTGGTCTCCATTCACCCATCTCCCTTTAGTTCTGATGAAAGGAATTTCTTTCCAGAGACATTCTGCAGTGTCTGTAACATTTGAAAATTGAAATTCTACCTGAATTTCTTACTCAATCTCTGTAAGAAATCTGTTTACTAAGACAGACAGACTTGAGGAGAATTGTCTTTGAGTCTTTGTCAACCCCTTCTTTCAAAGGATGTTATTTCCATCTTTTGTGCTTGTAGTATCTCTAATGCACCCAGAAATAAACAAAATCCAGCAAGGCAGAAGGAAGAAAAATGGTCCTTTATTATAAATAAAATATTATTCAAGAGAAGAGATTCTTCTTTTGGTTGTCTACAGCATCATAAGTGCCTACATCCAAGTTCATCAATGTTATAACCCATTTATATGTATAAAGTTCTGGGTTACTTTCATTTGTTTAGTACCCTGTTCTCTCCAATGATTGTAAAGGAAGTCTAGACTAAATTAGATATTGGCTTCTATAAAGTTAACATCCACAGCTGGTTGGATTACTCCCAGCAGAAGAAGACATGCTCAGAGGAACAAATCAGTATTGCTAACATGAAGTCAATGGAATTATGGCCTACATCAGCTACAGTCAAGTTATAACAACTCAATGATGTTGAATTCAGAAAATCAAATACGGCTGTTAGTACAAGGATTGGCCTCAGCACTGTCTGAACCTTATTTGATATGTGGGTTCTCATCAGCTCTTTTGTCCTCAATTATAATGTCTTTTTCTTTCTTGGAATAAGCTCATTAAGTTCTGCCTTTCCAAAAATTCAGGACTTACTTCAGAATAAATTTCCTAGTACTTCTAATGTTTTATAACGCTGCTTTCTTACCTCCTTCCTTGGAACAGAGGGTGATCAGAGTGTGAACTGTATCCATCAGTTCAAGCTGCTGTTTCTGCAGGACACTGTTATTGCTTGTTGCCTTGTTTAACTGCTTCTCTAGTTCCTGGATTATGTAGCTTTGTCGTGTGACCAAGCTTTGTAGGTTCTCTTTTTCCTCCTTCAAAGTGTCCAGCTCCTCTTTATGCCTTTCTTCCATTTCTAAAATTCTGTGCTCAAGTAAACTAAAATTAAATAAAACAGTTAGTAGATACTACTTCATTCCAACATATTTATTAATAAAGAAAACAGGACTATTTATTTTTCACCATCGTGTTCAGTACATAAATGATTCATTCTAAAAATATCACATCTACTAATTCAGCCCACTGATTATCAAGTAGCCAAATATAATTGATCTCTAAGATTCCATTTTGTGATGTTTGCATGCTGTAGTGCTTAGAGTAAAGTGGACAAAACTGCATATCTAGTTGTTACAACCGTTCAAGTGCACGAGTATAGGGCCAGTAACACATTTGTATATAGAAGTGCAGTCAGAAAAGCCTAAGTTAGGCAAAGGAGGGAGAAGAGCAGGGCACTGAAAAGGGAAAGCTGGGAAAGGAATTGTGCACCAGATCAGTGGTATCTGTTTTCACATTAAGAATAATACTGTTTCCCCAAAAGATAAATCAGAAGTTTGCATTTTAAGGTAGGATTCCCTTGTTTTCCTTGAGTCCACATATGTATATCCCCCCTGGCCTTTTCTTGTTCCACAAAAGGCTCCTCATACAGAAAACTGTTGGACATCATACTATGCAGCCTGCTTACATCAATTTTCAGAAATAATTTTACACATGTATGGAAACACTATCGTTTCATTAATATTCTTTTTCTAGTACCCCTCTCTGTCCTGAGTCTGAAGTGTACAATTTACAAAGACAAAAGGCATATCAGATTATATCTGGAAGAATAGAGGAGCTGTAGACATAAAGGACAGCTAGTGTCTGTCAACAGTGAACAAGAAGTTTTTTCAGGCCAGTGCTTTGATGCTGGGGTGGGAGTTTAGCAGAAAGAATTTATTAATATTAGGTAAAGAAATTAATTCAATCCCCCTGACACTTTCTATTCAGTAATTCTACTGTATACGCCAAAAGAGGTGTTTCTTATGCCTGTAAACCAACTGGTCATTACACACTTGCCAACAAACTGCTTCCTGTTCAAGTCAGTCTTAGGTTTTATTTATTTGCACTCTCCCCTCACCTTTGTTTTTACTTCTGGATAATAGATCAGTGGCAAAATGCCTGCATAATTTCAGGTCATTTAACCTAACTGAAGAATGTAATAAAATCCATATGGAGTTGTTTCCACTAGATATCACAAAACCTTAATACGAGCTGTTACAAATGATAACAATGCAAAGATTAAATTCAGTCCCTGGATTTGCTGTACAAGCTAGAGTAATATAAAACTTTTTTTTTTTTTTAAATAAAAGAAACCAAACAGCAAATGTCTTTTTCTGAAGTGTTATAAATGTGGGACTTACTTACAAAGATACTGAAGAAAATATACTTTGTAACATCAACATATCTAGTTCTGTGAAAACTAGAAGTATCTAGGTAAAGGGGGGGTGAGGGGGGGAGAAAAGGTGGGAAGGGAAAACACTTTTTCATGGGGTCCCAAACACCAAGGGGAACATGATACGTCATTCTAAAAGGCTCATTAATTAGTAACAAAAGCATAACAAGATTCAGTGGACTGGAATCGGATGATAGGAAGTTTCAATCTGAAACAAAGTACACATTTTGAAGCCAACGACAATAAATTATTTTAACACCTTATCAGACCTATAGCTGATTTTTTTCATCACTTGACCTCTAACATTAAATACAATGCCTTTATACTCTAGACTCACATGGATTTTTTTGCAAATATTTATGTGGAAGTCTTTGAGCTTTGTTATGCAGAAGATCAGACTAATTAGTTTTGTTAGGCAGAAGTGGTTGAAAATGTTCTGATGGAACCAGTTTTGGTCATAAAATACTGTTCAAAAAAATAACAAAAAAAAATTCTACATGAATTTTATCAGTGCTGTCTGTATTTTCACAGAAATTATTGAAATGCTCATTTTGATTCTGAATTTTAACTTTTCTGATAGACTATAACTTATATCAATGCACTTTTGATAGGAAAAAGGTGGGCGCTGGGCACAGTCTGTGATCGAATGGGTGCTAGGTGTGGCTACATCCCAGTCTGACATCTTACAGTCCATCAAAAATGTTGTGTATTGTCAATGTAAGAGAAGATGCCGTTCTTGAAGCTAGAATATTGCTTTATAGTTAAATGGTAAGCAGAGACAAAAACAGTTCCCTTTATCTTTGTTGATATCCAAGTACAGTACATGTCATTTCCCTAATTCCACAACATCCTATCTGTACGTCCACATCAAAATGATTTCCATATCTCAATGATTTCATGTAAAAGAAAGAGCCTTTGACAGCCACAATTTCTGCATTGCATTATTTGTTTGCCACTGTAGCCCTCCTAAGACCATAGCGAATGAACCCATGGTGATGACAGTCTTATTTGTAGCAACACTGGCCATGTCAAGAAAGAAGGAAGAAGCTGACAATGTTTAGAGCTTCCCAGTTTGGTGCCTACAGAGACAGACAGCAAGCATATGTTTTACGGCTTTAGTAATAATACATCCTAATATTTATGAGTGGTGTGTCAACAACATGTGGTGGAAAGATCGGAGTGTCACAGCACATGGTTCTTTTACAGTTTTCTATGTAGATTAAAAGTCCTGTTATTATAAACTGCAAAACTAAGCTATTTTAAGGAATGCATATACATTTATGCAATGATCTTTCTATATCCATAAATCTATAACAGATAAGAATAAAGTCCTGAGGATAGGACCACTCCCTGTATTCCTGGGAGAAATCCAAAACATTCATTGTGTTTTACTAAGAAGCAGTGAAAAACCTTTGGTCAAAGCTCCAAATGAACAAAAGCAAAAACTTCACATAGACTGGGGATTTCTGCACTGGCCGGTTCCAAAAAGAAGAAATCCTTAAACAGCATGAGAAAAGCTGCTCTTAAGGCCTTTGACACCAACGAGGCCAGAATTTTTCATTTGTATTGTTACATTCATATTTATTATAGCTCATTTAAATAATAAAAAAAAAATTGTTAGAAACTCCATCAAAAAATCTTGAAACAGGTTGAAACCCATTACAAATATATTTAGATTTTTTTTTAACAGTTGTGAGACCACTCTGTTCTCTCTTTTTCCCTTGTGACATCAGACAATTTCTAACAGACAAGTACCATGAAGAAATAATTTTGCTGAGTGCTTGGTAAAGATATTTTCTCAATTTTTTAAAGAGGCATTGTGAACACAGAGTTAAAATGACAGTATTTGTACTATGTTTCATTAATAATTATTGCTGACATAAAATATTAAAGAAAACAAAAAGAAGGCTGTCTCTATACCAATTAGTCCAACAATCTGTAAAGGTTGACTGAAATTGTTATATAACATTCTTTTATAACACTTTCCAGTAAAATGTTATGGGCATGATGTATCGACTGGCTTTTTTACAGTAAGTTTACCATATACATTTCCTATACATTTGAAATTCCTGTACATTTGCTATATGTTTGTAATTTCTATATGTTTGTAATTTCTATATGTTTGAAAACATTACTGACCCAGACAGATGAAGCAGTCATGGGAACTACAATACTCACAATAAAAAAAATTCACCATTTACTAGAAGCATCATATGTATACATATATATATATAATCATACACATACACATATGTGTGTGTATGATTTATAATTGTAGCCTTCAATCTGGGGAAACAAATCAGGCATTTAGAGAACAGAATGAAGTTGTGAAGAAACAAATGTTGTTGTTAGCATGGATAAACACCAGTATTATCGGTTGGACAATGACTCTTTGGAGTCATTATCTAGAAGTCAGTTAAATTAAAACCAAACACACACAACTCAAACACAGACAAACTTAATTTTCCTAAAGGTTAACCATGTCTTAATATCGAACCTACGGATCTTGGCGAGGCTAGGAATCTATTTTCAACCAGACAAATTATTTGTTAACTTTGTCACGATATAAGCCAGTGGGATGCCTTGGTGCAACTGTGCTGTGTCCAGCTGATTCAGAAAAAGCCCTCTGATAACACTGGAGAGGGTAGAAGACCCATACGGGAGTCAAAGAATGGCTTCCAGTGAAAGCTGTTGTCATTTTGAAAGGTGATGAAGTAGAACATATAGAAAGCACTCTGGTAGCTCTCTGGGGAGGAAGGAAAGTCTGGTTTAGACAATCTGCCTTATAAGGTAGGTAGTTTATTCACTAATCCATTCCAGACCACAGCAGTTTAAGAGGGTTTTTTATCTTTGTTTTCAGAGGCCTCAGTTTAGACACATGAGAACAGGATATAGACCAGATCTTAGAGATGGACATCTTTTGTATTAAAATAATCCTTAAAAAAATCTGGATTTATTAAAAATACAGATAAAAACATTTACTTTGTTGAGCTATTCAATAAATAAAGACAAGTAGCGTCACACTAGCAAAAAATTCTTTGGCTGTATACATGTGGTTTTCTTGTATTATGTATGTATGGGAAGACAAACAGGTAGAGGATTTAAATGCTTACTTTGGAGTACAAGAATGGCATTTTCTCATTAAGACAGCTTCTTTGTACTTGGTTTTACGTGAGTGAAATTTCCCATATATTGTTAGCTGCTGACCATTCATACTTTGGTGGTCTGATATTGTCTGATCAGTTTAAGGAAATATAAAAATATGTCCCCATATTTCTTAAGGCCAGTAAAATAACTGGTCCCTAAGCATCAGTAAGCTTATTTTTTATACCAGTGAAAAGATAATTCCATTGAAATCACAAAAGTAAAATGAAAAATCTGGATTTATCTTTTTAGTATGTACGAGACCTGCAAATAAAACTCATTAGACATATTGTGTTTCCTCATCTTTCACACGGACAGATGGAAATTCAGGAATCATTCTTGAGTCCTCGCTTTTCATAGGATGCAACAATTCTTGTACTGAATGTGTTAATGTAGTTTGATTGTCTGCAAATTCAAGTAGGATTTTATGTTTAAATTTCACTTCCACTATTTATTGCTGGAAGATCCAGAATTCTATTATATTTTTCCTCATTCATTTCATTTGAGTAAATAAAAGGTTATTTTCACATTTGCATATTGAAACAAATGGCACACAATAAGTTAAATGCAGCTGGTACACTCTGGAGAAAAAAAGGGGGCTCATAAAGGCAGTTAAGCAAGGAAATCTTTCAAGGATAAATCAAAATAGTTTTTAGAAAGCTCTTGTGGGAGAAAAAACGGCAATGGAAGAAACTACCATTTACATTATAGTGGGTGGAAACCCACAAAACTAAATTATTTATGGCATGAGAGCACTCTATAGAAACATAATTCTGGGGCAAATGTGACTCTACTTATGCCATGGAACATCTTTCACTTCAGTGGGATAAAAAGAAAAAATTGGCCAGTCTTCCCAGGACAGGCAGGAAGTAGAGAAGGGCCAAGAATAGATATATTTCTAGTCTAAAGAACATGCATCGGTCCCCTGCTGATATGCAGTGTTCATTTTATTTGAGGATAATATACAAGTTGCTGTAGTACATCAACCATCAGTTATTATTACTATAAGATTTTGCATTACGTTCATCCAAAATACAATTCTTTGAAAGTGATTAAGGTCATTATTTTTATTTTACATAGAGGAAATTTTAGCACAGAGAAAGAACTTATCTGCCCACAGTACACCATCTGTTTTGATTATTTTTGCTATTGTAATAGTTCCTACACTGGTTCCTACTGTGGTGTACACCTACTGCAAAAGAAAGGCCCTTTCCAAAAAAGCTTTCAGTCCACATAGGCAACATGGATAAAAGGAATTTTCTCTATTTTATTGATCTGAAAGTGATAAGGAGAAGGATGAAGGCATTTTAACTGCAAATAGGTACTGAATGTAGCCTCATGGTAACCTATAAGTACGGTTTAAAGTTAAGCAAGCCAAAATCATTGGCATGTCAAGAAATATAGTATCTGCTGAGATCACCAAGATTTGTCCCATAGTGAACTTGACACACACATAATTGATTTCAGGATCAGGACCTACAAGGCCAGAACTATGCAGTTCTTTGTTAGGAGTAGATGATGATACAGGAACTGATGATCCATATTTTAGTGTAATCATAACATTGCCCTCTACCTAATTTTACCACTCCCAAGGAGAGAGTAACGGAACCTGGACAGTGTATGCCAGGTTCTCGCTTCATTAGAAGATGAAACTCCATGTGCTTTTTCATTTATCCACATACAACTATACTTCTGAGAGAAACAATTGGGTATAAAGTGTGCTTTTTAACATACCCCTCCCTTTCTTCTGAAAAAACAAGGCAGATCCTTTTGTCATGTCAGATCATTTCATCATAATGTCAGCCAAGTCAAAGGTCAACTTAAGTAAAACTTATTTGTTTACTGACGTGAAGGTTTCACACCCTGACACATAGCTAAGATAAATAAATAAATTGAGATTAATAAGTACACAAGACTCAGTCTCTTAAGTAGCCAATAAAGCTTTGTTGCTAACCATATTGCAGCAGATAAAAATGCAAGTATTTATATACTTAACTAATGCTTGGTTTAATCCCAGATTGAAATAGGTTTGTAAAATATGTAGAACAAACTGCCTCCTCCACATGCCTACTCTCTCCGTGGACTAGAGGGAGAGCCCCCCCACACAGTTTAGGTGAATAACTTCATTTTGAGATGGCTGAAGTCAAAGTTAATCCCACACTAATTCATTCATATTTCCAATTGGTCAAGGGAAATCTGTGGAGTTCAAGAGTTTCAGTGTAATCCAACTTCTCCAGAATAACATCTGCTGGAATTACTGGTTATAAACAGTTGCTAGATTAAATACATTAAATTGGTTTTCGTAACCAGTAGCAATAATGGCATATTATTTGACCAGCTTTGCAACTGGTCACATTTAGCAAACACAGTTCTCTGTAACAATATTTTCTAGTTTTCATCATTATCTGTTTTTTTGCCTTCTTTTCGCAGTAGCTCCTTGCCTATTGTGGTGTTAGTCTTCCTCATGTGTAATCCTGGGCAAGTTCTTCCTGCCTCAGCTGCCGATTCCTGTGCACCAGCACCGGAGTCATGCTGCCCTTTTTGGCAAACTGTCTGATCTCACTTTAAACAGTCCACTAAAGCTTGTGCAGGATGCTTCAGTAACTACCTCACTTTTAAAGCTGTTTGCCTTATTCCAATGTCAAATGTAGATACAGAAAATAGAAACCTTAGGGCTAGTCAGGCTTACCTCACAGTTGTTCTTTCTAGAAGGGAGCTGAGAGTGAAGCTGCAGAGTAAAAGCACTCTCTGTCCTCCCTGCTTAAACCTGGCTGTTACAGAGGCAGGAATGTGAGCCTTAGGTCTCTAGAAGGGCAGCCAAGAAGGAAAAGGCTTTACCCACTGCACTGAGTGCAGATGCCCAGGTACGGGCAGTGGGGGCTGCAGGGGCGGCCTCTGTGAGGAGAGGCCGCAGCTGCCCTGTGCCGGGCACAGCCGGTTCCAGCCGGTTCCAACCGACCTCAACAGACCCACCGCAGGGCAATGGCTGAGCCTGTCAGCCAGGGTGGTGGTGCCTCCGTGACAAGGTATTTCAGAAAGGGTAAAACCACCACATGACAGTGTGACGAGTAAGGGAAAAAAGTGAGAGAAACTATGCTGTAGACACCAAGGACAGAGAAGAAGGAGGGAAGGAGGCACCAGAGCAGAGATTCCCCTGCAGCCCATGGGAGAGACCATGGTGGAGCAGATATTTCCTATGGACGACCCCACACTGGAGCAGGTGGAGACGACCAGAAGGAAGATGTAGCCTATGGAGAGCCCACGCTGAAGCAATCCTATCCTGAAGGACTGCAGCCCATGGGAAAGAACCACACTGGAGAAAGAAAGTGGTGTGAACTAACACCACAACCCCCGTTCCTCATCCCCCTGCACTGCTCAGGGAGGGGGGGAGGTAGAAGAGTCAGGAGTGAAGTTGAGCCTGGGAGAAGGGGAGCTAGGGGGGAAAAGTCTTTTTTGTTTTGTTTATGTTTCTCACTACCCTACACTGTTATTAATTGGCAATAAATGAGGCGCTTTTTTGCCCATGACAGTAACTGGTAAGTGATCTCCCTGTCTTTATCTCAGCCACAGTCTTTCCTTATATTTTCTCCCTCTGCCCTGTCGATGAGGGGAGCGAGAGAGCAGCTGGGTGGGCATCTGGCAGCTGGACAAGGTCAACCCACCACACATGCTCTCTGAAAGACTGGATTGCTAAATCCAGTGACTTCAGGTACTGAGTCCCTCACAGAGAGAGGAGCTTCTGTGTAGCACAGAAAGGGACAACACTGGAACTTCTTCTTGACTGTCACTTCACTGCTTAAAAAGTTACATGCTAATAAACAATTTTTCTTCAATTTCAGCATAAAACCCAAATGTTTACTGTTCACTTATTCTTTAAATGGAGCATGGCTCCAAGTATGCTATATACAACTGAGTCCAAGGGGAGAGAGAGAGATCCTTCTACATGTTAGATCATTGTATCCATTAAAATTAGAAAGATGAACTGCTGAAGATTTTCTGTTTCTTATGCACTTTAAGGTAGTTGATAATCTCATAATTTATTATTAATATTTTTCCACTTGAAAGTGCTCATACAAGTTATCCCTATGCTTTTCAGTAGCAGGAACTATGACTAAGCTGTCATGAAGCAAACTGAGATGTAAACTTACAGTGCACACAAAAAGTGGTAAAAATCAACTTACATTTATCCTACAGGAGCTAACACAGTGTAAGGTCACACCCTAGCTCTTTTAGCCATTTCATAAATATTACCTGTATTTGCTTTTTCCATTTCATCAGTTGCTTAGAACAAAGTATGCATAGACCACTTTGTGATGAACAGAGAAAGAGCGTAAGAGACCAACTACTCATTCTTACCTGTTTTTCTCATGAATTTTCAGGATTTCGTGTGTCTGTTGTAGAAGCTGTTTTTCTAGCTTGTACGTTGACAGTGAATTTTCCAGTAGCTGAATTTCAAGTCTGGATGTTTGATTTAGCACCTTAAGGATAAATTAAGAACATTAATGTTTATATTGTCCTGGTTATGTTGTTATAGCAACATAATACAACCATTTCATTCTGGTTTGATGATTTGTCAAAAATTGTTTCTAAACCCTTTTTTAACCTCAGCTGCTCAGCTGGTGCAAATGAACTCAATCAAGTTACATTGATATGTACCAGCTGATATTCTGGCACCCTGTTTACTGTAGAATAATACTAGGCCGGCAGAAAAAGGAAAGGTGACTGCCAAATAAGCTTCATTTCAGTGGAAAGAACAAGAGGCATGCCTCAAACATGCATTCCTACAAAGCATGCTTAAACCAGAAGAGTGCAAGAGTACTTGGACTGAAGCCAAAGTGTTGCATCCTCTGTTTTGTAAGTAAAGCTCCTACTTTAGCTGTCCCCTGAGTTCTCTTTTTTTTGCAGTGTTGGCAGAAGTCTGGTGTCTGCTTATGTTATCACTACTTGCACTCTTACACAGTTTTTTAAGATGAAGGCTGTGATCCTAAACATTGCTTTATGAAGTTGTCTTTCACTTTAGTGGTGGTCTGTATCAATAGCACAAGATTTTAATAAGTACATCGCACTGAAAGAAGCCTTTTAACTAGACGAAAGAGAATAGCTTCTAACAAAAAATAGTTCAAAAGTGGAAATAACAGAGTGCTTTTAAGAATGAAAGCAATAATGTTAATTAACGTTAGTAGATTTTGTTGGGATATCGTTGTTCATTACATAGAGTCTGAAGGAGTGTTTTTTGTAGATATGTGTGCACACACCAGCTGAGATGCAACCACTTCTGGAACTGAAAATGATGCCTCTCTAATGGAACTTACCCGACCTTTCTTGGAAGGACATTTATCAGTATCATCATAGGATTACATGGTAACATTTTCTCATGCATGCCTGATAGGAATTTGTTACAGAACATAAAGCAAAGAGAATGGCTCTCGAACTCAATCCAGTGCCTTATTTTTGTTTGAAATTGTTTCATTCTCAGAGCAACTTGAGTTGCCCTTTTTAAGGGTACAGAGGTTGAAAAAATTGGAAATGATCAGTATGCAGCTGTTACGTTTTTCAAGATGGATACATATGGAAGTGCCAGGAGGCATCACCACGGTTTCAGAAGCACCTGGCAGAAATTGAAGGTGTATTAGAAAGGTTGGCAAGGGGTAAGAAGACAGGAAAGCATCAACAGATTTCCAAAGAGGATACATCTGTGGAGCAGCCTACAAAACATCAGTAGAGCTTCAGGTAGACAAGAAAGCCTAAAGGGAATCAGTGGGATTTTGGATGGATCAGGGATTGGGAGACGTCAGTAAGATTTTAAGGAGGTGGAGGCTCTATCTTCAGTCCTTCAGACTCCTCCTTACCCTGGTATGAGTACTTTTTATTACAGGCATGGGATCCTGGCCTCCCTTTGCCCTCCTTGTATCCTACAGACCTTCATCTCTCTGCCATGAAGCTGGCTACCTCCATCACTGCCAGAGAAGTCTCTTTTGACTTTCTTGAGCCACCTGCACCACTCTTTTCTGATTGAGGGTAGAACCAGGGACTACAGGGACTTTCTCATACTGCTGAAAGAGGGGAGGTGGGAAAAGCCACCACTGAGCTGAAAGTCAGAGGAAGTACTGTGACAAGGAAGAAACACTCCCATTGATATCTTGAACAACTCAAATTCTTCAGCAATAGGTATAGAAGGAGGAAGTTATCTGCTTCTTCACACAGTTACCAGTGGTATCTCTACTTTAAAGTGGTTCCTCAAAGTGAGACAGAGGCAATGCACATTTTGTTCCTTACCTGCTTAAAGGAGGAAACTGTGAATGAGTACTCAACACTTACACCTAGGTAGGTCTTTTGGGATACAAGAAGAGTTCCTACACCTCCTTTTTCTTTACTGAACATAGGATACTACAGTCCATAGGTCTTCATCTTTTATGTTTCCATTTAGATAGTCTTCTGATACCGAATTAAAGATTTTCCCCAACATTTTCTTAAGTCAATATACTATGTTTTAGAAACTGTGGTCATTTGAGATCACAACATTTACAAGTGAATGTTGACCTATTAACCAAGATGTAGAAAAAAAGGTCCAAAGAACCCTTGTAAGACAGTGTATCTGTCTTTCATAATTACTGTTGTTTCTCAGTGTAATGTGATTATGTAAAAACTTGGTAATGGTATCATAGACATGAGTGAGGACATGAGAACAGAAAATATGGTCTTTCAAGAAGTACTTATGCTACTAGAACAAACTAAATAAATGCAATACTTGAATTCCACTGTTCTAAATGAACAGTGAATGCAGTGAAGCTGGTAATACACCACATGCTAGAAGATCAGGAGGAAGTCAGCAAAAATAAGGAAAACAAATAGGCATCTTAAACTGATAAAAGAATTCAAAAGGCAAAAAGTAGTACGTATCTTTGCAATAAGACCAGTATGAAATTGTACTCTGTGTTATGACAGTGATACTCTTGTCACTTCAATCACAACAGTGATTTCAGTGCTAGGAATCATATGGAGATGGCTTTTTAAATTCATGTGATGTTAAACAATTTTACAGTAATAACAAATACACAGTGTTTTATAAAGAAGCTGATGTTTGTCCTTCTCTTTTTGCTATGTTTCAAATAGCTGGAAACATATTACAGAAAATAAACAAACTTTCTTGTAATAGTAAAGAGGCAAACAACAATGGAGATCAAAGGCTCTGTTTTAGCCTAAAATTAATTATTTAGCTTGACACTTGTATCATTCACAGTTGGTAGCTGGTCTGTTTGAAGTCAAATGCTGATTTAGTTTCCTGGACAGTCCTGCCTGCCTTGCATGCACGCAGCTAAACATACTAACCAAATGAAATCGAAAGAAAGACACGTAACAAGGGTCAGTCATCACCGCTGTTGGTACCAAGAAACAGAGTGTGTATGTTTCTTGGAGCCCTGTGTTGAAAAGTTTTGTGTGGTGATGCATTAGAAAAGAAAGAGGATGCAAAAAGTTCTCTGCAATTAACAGCTTTTAGAAAACCGCTCTGGGAACATACCTGGGTTTCAACATCCGTGAGTTTTCTCGTTTGCTCTGCTGTCTGGCTGAGGAGGCTGGTCCCTATCTCGAGCATGGTGGCGGTGTGGTTCTGCACAGCATTCTGCTGCAGCTGCACCATCTCCGATTTCATGTTTTCCACAATGTAGCTCTCAAGCTGTGAAAGAGAAAAGATTGTAGCTGTGGTATTTTTACCTGTTTAGGCATTCTGGTGACATAAGGGTGCATAGCTGGCATTCTTACAAAAAGGGAAAATTTCAACATTTTCGGGGGGAGCCCAAGTCTCAGTTGAGTGTGTGACTGTTGGGGTAGGGACCTGACTATCTGGGTAGCCCCTTCCAGACACAGAGTCCCAATGTTTTTCCAGGTATCACAGCCTGCTGTCATGAGCTGGAGCAGGACCTGCCTGCCTCCATCTGTGTCAAGGCTGCAGTGAGTATTTGTGGTAGAAATGTCATGGCAGCTCCAAAATGAACCCCTAAAAGAACAAAGCACACTACAGGGAAACGCCAGGTTCTACTTGTACATTTTAACTTACATGTGAGTCCCTTCCTGGAATAGATCCTACCATATCCTACCTCCCCTGGATTGTTCCTATCTCACAGTCATTCAGCAATACGATTTTTTTACTGGGTTAGATACCCACAAAGAGTTTCACAAACTTGGCAATGAACGCAGCTTAGTTTAGCTGTGACCAAAATATTGTAAAGGAATGGAGACACTGTCATGGCAATAAAGGAAAGGAGTTGACCAAAACACATAGAAAGCTGCTTTGCTCCTTTGCTTTTGTTGTCTTGATGTTGTTTGCAGTCTGTTGAACTGAATCTGAGTTAGCACCCTCTAAATAAACAGGGCACCCCAGAGAGAGTGGCACTTTTTGTTTTTGTTTGGGTTAGTTAACACAGGCAGGGTCATTCCCTTCTAGCTACCTAGGTCCTCACCCTGCCACAGCAGATGAGAAACCCAGGACTAGCCTACAATATGACGAGATTGTTTCTTACTTATACAAGCATTGTCCTGGCATCTTGCTTGATGTGCTCCATAAAGTATTAACATAAAAAAAGGTCGCCCAGAACATTGTTTTCAATACCTTCTACTGAAATCAGCTGGAGTCCAGCCAATTTACACCCAGTGAAGATTTGGTCCTCAGTTTCGTATTGTGGCTGATCATGTTTTTTATGGTTAGGTGATTCCACACTTAAGCAACCACTGTTTTACCTAATAATTTTAATTACGTTGGACTGCTTCTGCAGCAGTAAGCATACTTCATTGTGAAAGGTACGCTGCACAACTGAACAGTAAGAACCAGATGGAGTTGATTTAAAGACTGAAGAAAGGAGCAGGAGTCAGATATACAGTGTGATTAATAAGAAGGTCTGCTTTCATCTTATCTATAAGCATACTTGTGCTTAGGGATAACTACTGTTAGATGTTCTGATGAGCCACATTAGCTGAGCTCACAAAAGATTTATTACAAATTTGATCATTTATGTGCACCTCCTATTGGTTTTTATAAACATTTTTACAAAGAAAGAACACTGTCACAATGTAAAATATTTTCTGCATAAGACAGTTGTTGGTGGTTTGTTTATTTGTTTACTCCAGTTTGGAGAAGCACTTCGTAACCATGATGGTCAAAACCAAAGGCGATGTCCTACAGTTTCAGACAACAAAAATGCTTGCTTGAATTGCCAGGTAACCACTGTGGGCTGGAAACCTGCAGTGTTTTAAGTGGTGGGGAAAATTTATTATTGAATACTCTGATAAGTTTTAAAATCAGATTTAACAGCCAAGGAAAACTATGTATTGCAAAATAATGTCTGCAAGGGATGACACCATTTTCCTCTCCCAGTGTAAGTTTACTGCTCTGTTTTAGTTTATTACTGTGAGGTAAGTGTTACAGATATTAAGCTACTTCAAGGGAGAATTTGCAGATCCATCCCATTTCTACACCATGCTTTTATGTTCAGAAGTATTTTGCCTGTATATCTTTTTCACATCATATAATGTATTTTTAGCCACCCTTTGCTTCTTGTTTTCTAACCAGTAATTTATTTTTTTTTCCGAAATATCCTCTGCTTGCACATAATCCCTGTGAAAGAACCCCACAAACTGGATGGTTGTCCTTCTCCACATTCTGGGTCAGATACTGGAACACCTGAACAAGAAATTCAAATTTCTCCCACAGCTTTCACCTCCTAATGAAACACAGGGCTCTCAAGTCATGGTACTGCCTGTGATGGAGTACCAATGCATATATTTCCTCAAATCCAATTTCTTTTGTTTCCAGATAGGACTGTAGCATATCTGTGTGTGACTATACAGTGCTTGATTTGTTAGTCTGAAGCTTTCTGAAACTGCCTTGCTGTACATGGGCCACATGGTGCATGTGTGTAATGGATGTCTGGGAAAACCCAGGCAAAAATATGGTGGCTACACTGAGTTATACATCAGAAATTAGATATTTTCACACATCGATAAAAAGAAACACAGATAGGGATATAAATATAAAAATACAAAAAGACATTTATATTTCTAATTTTTTTTCCTGTTATTTTACTCACATTACAGAAAGGATTGCATTTGAAAGATCTAATTGCATCTGTGTGGAGCTACAGCAGGTTTTGACTAGCAACAACAGAGGAATAGAGTGAGACATATTGGATAACTTGTACTTTTAATTATTGTAGTCTAACATGCTCCCCATGGTATCCAGTCTTGGGCAATTGCCCTTGGTTACTCACCCCTAAAACAGGCTCTGGTTGAATCTGACACTGACTCATTGTAACAACAAAGCTGATTTTCCTGTTTCAGAATTAGTCATTAAATGCTTTTGTAAATATTTGGTGTTCAGTACACTGCCACAATAGTTTCTGTGAGCACATCTCAGGAGTACCAGGAGGTATTCACTCAGGCAAAGGAGGGTAGAACAAGGACTGAAATAATGTAGAGGTTCTGTTACATTAATTCCCCTTTCTTCCTCCCTTCACCCACTTCTTTTAGTTTGCTCAGTAGATTTATTGGTTGCAATACTGGCCCTGCTAAAATCAATGGCAAAATTCCCATTGACTTCAATAGGCCAAGACTTCACCTATTATTTTTATTGCAGGAAACCAATATTTACCAGGCTCATTATGGCCAAGCACTGAGTTTTATCTGAAGCCTTCCCTTCTTTGGAGGCATGTATTAAGTGTACTGAACCTTAGACTGAGCTTTCTTTGTGGTTAGTTAAGAGGAATAGCATCTATTTAACAGGTGATAAAAGGATCCTTGCAGGGTGGCCTCACAGAAAATGTGACACACAGAAAGCTATTCATAGAAGTAAATTCAAGAACATTTAGGGTTTTAAGTCATCTTTTAGAACGCCTTCATCCTGTAATTAAGTTAAATTCAATTTGTCCAGAGACTCTGCATTAAGCATTAATTATATAATGCATGATGAAATACTCTTTTCAGTTAATCTACTTTTCACATTTGGATTTTCAAATCCTTATATTACCATTTCTTCTTATTTCAGTTACTTTTTGTTGCAAAAGTGAAACAGAATTCTCTTCTGCATTCTTTTCCCCCATCCCACCCCTCCCACTATACGGCTTTCTATAGTTCATTGATGTCCTTGTTATTAATTTGGCTGCATCTGCTTTTGGTAAGACTCATTACATTGCACAAGAGTTTTCAGTAATGCAGAGTTACCGGTGGGATGCATAATAATGTTGTAACATTCTCAGAAATAAAACTGTCAGAAGGTTCAGTGTTATTGTTTAATAAACATTCCAGAGGATTATGCATTAAAAGTATCTAGCTTTTTCTGGACAATGTTTATTGAATAATCTTCACAGAAACCACCCAAACACTAATAGAACTAATAAAATGGAAACTGTAACTTAGGGCCTAAGTAAATGATAATGGTTTGTGGCAGATGGCTTATAAATAAAATAAGAGCTTTTTCTTTTACTTTGATCAAGTAATGTTGGTCCCATGTAATTATATGTTAAGGACTGCTATGATATCCAGATGACATTAGGTTTTCATCCAGTGCCTTAGAACAAGAATGCAAGTTAAAGTAACAATAGACTGTTCTCCTTCTCCTACCATATACTGCACATGATTTGGAATAATAGAAACACAATGCACCAGTTATATTTTGTAAGAGCTTTTTTGTCTTGTCTTGCTTTGCATACCTGAAGATGTACTAGTAATACTATACCACAACAACCAATGGCAGTTCAGTTCTTTCTCTGTTTTTCTGTCTGAGGATCATACCTCCCCACACTAACAAACTGCCTCGGGGAGTCAGATATAAAAGTGACATTTGATGTAATTTGTGTTTTATAAATACACAAACTGCCTTAGTGGGAATAAGCTGGAAGAAGTTGAAATATATAGAATACCATAGAATTTCTTTGACTTTTGCAGATGCAGAAGGGGGTTAGGAAGGAGTTTATCACTGAGAAAAGTGATTTTATTTGTGTGTTGAAAAGGCCAGCATTACGTTTATTAAAAAAAAAAACAAACATCTTCTGTGAATTATTTGTCAGTGAGAAAAGATTGATAAAATGACAAATTTACAGTGATGCAACCTTCTTGTATTACAGATCCAAGGAGTAGAGACCAATCAGAATATATCCTTGCACTATTTCTGACCGTATGTAGTCAGTGACAATCAAGGAAAATGAACACGGATGGCACAAAAAGGCAATGTATGATGCTCAAATGTTAACACGCTAATCTACACTTGATTTGGAACAACCTTACCTGGGCTTTAAGTGTGTCAAGGAAAGTGCACTTCAGCCAGAAAAAAATTGTAGATATACCATCTGTCCTGGTTTTAGCTGGGACAGGGTTAATTCTCTTTCTAGTACCTGATATAGTGTTATGTCTTGGATTCAGCAAGAGAAGAATGTTGATAACACACTGATGTTTTCAGTTATTGCTGAGTAGTGTTTAGACTAAGCCAAGGATTGTTCAGCTTCTCACGCCCAGCGAGCAAGAAGGCTGGAGGGGCACAAGAAGTTGGGAGGGGACACAGCCAGGACAGCTGACCCAAACTGGCCAAAGGGGTATTCCATACCATGTGATGTCATGCCCAGTATATAAACTGGGACAATTAGCCTGGGGGGAATCGCTGCTCGGGAACTAACTGGGCATGGGTCAGCG